GCATGTTCACTCAGTAATAATCATTTCGTGCTTATTTAAAAAAAGAGGTAAGAAGGGGGAATCCTAGTCATCTCAAAATGTATGCCAGTCTTTTAGGGCAGGAAATACTTTTCTTTATAAAACTTGTTCACATTTTTGATGCCCACGCTTATTGTGCATATATGATGGCCTCTTACTGTAACAAGCTAAGGATAGAGTGACTCCCTGGAGACTACTCAGGCTATCTGAGTTAGGAACCCACCTGTGGTAACCTTCCAGGAAGTGCTCCTCTTATTTTTGTATGAACTTTTCCTTATTCTTGAGTTCTTCATTTTGATTCATTTGTTTTTTCAGGGTTAGATTTAGTTGCATATATATGAAGTTCAGAGTAATTGTAACCCTAAGTGGTCTTAAATTGATGCCCTTCCTCTTGGTTCAGAAGCCAAGTGCTACAGATAGAGGTGCATGCCACCATGCCTGGCATATGTCACCTCCATCCTGCTTCTCTGATATTCTTCGGGTGGTTTATTAGTTAAGATTTCTTCTGTATACCCTCAATGCTTTACAGAAACAACTTAAGGGATAAAGGTTTATCTTGCTCACTGTTTCTGAGGCTTCAACCCATCATGACAGTGAAGTTACACTTGGGAAGGCAGTTCATATCACAGCCAGCCAGAAATTTTTTTTTTTTTATTGGATGTTTTATTTACATTTCATATGTTGTCCCCTTACCCCATCCCCCACCCACCCAGGAACCCCCAATCCCCTCACACCTCCTCCTTCTTCTTTGTGGATGTAACCTCTATCTACCCCCCCACTCCCACCTCCCCACCCTCAAAACTCCCACCCCCTGGGGCGTCCAGCCTTCATGAGGTCAAGGATCTCATCTTCCATCTGTGCCCAGCAGGGCCCTCCACTCTTATATATTCAGCTAAGGCCCTGGATCCCTCCATAAGTGCTCCCAGGCTGGTGGTTTAGACCCTGGGAGCTGTGGTTGGTTGGTATTGTTGCTCTCCTCATGGGGCCACAAATCCTTTCAGCTCCTTCAGTCTTCACTCTAACTCCTCCATTGAGAACCCCATGATCACTTCAATGGCTAGTTGTGAGCATCTGCCTCTGAATATGTCAGACTCTTGAAGACCTCTGAGGAGACATCCATATCAGGCTCTTATCAGCATGCACTTCCTGACTTCCACATCAGCATCTACCTTTGGTGACTGCACATGGGATGGATACTCAGGTGGAAAGGTCTTCAGACGGCCCCTCCTTCAGTTTTTGTCCCTCGCTTTGTCTCCATATTTGCTCCCTTGAGTATTTTGTTGCTCCTTCTAAGAAGGACCGAATCACCCCCACTTGGTCTTCATTCTTTATGGACTTCATGTGGCCTGTGAGTTGCATCTTGGGCATTTTAAGGTTCTGGGCTAATATCCAATAATCAGTGAGTGAATACCATGTGTGTTCTTTTGTGATTGGCTTACCTCATTCAGTATGATAATTTCTAGTTCCATCCATTTACCTAGGAACCTCTCAAATTCATTGTTTTTAATAGCTGAGTAATACTCCATTGTGGAAATATACCACATTTTTTGAATCCATTCCTCAGTTGAAGGACATCTGGGTTCTTTCCAGCTCCTGGCTATTATAAATAAGGCTGCTATGAACATAGTTGAGCATATGTCCTTATTATATGTTCGAGCACCTTCTGGGTATATGCCTAGGAGTGGTATAGCTGGATCCTCGGGTAATGCTATGTCCAATTTTCTGAGGAACCGCCACACTGATTTCCAAAGTGGTTGCACCATCTTGCAGTCCCACCAACAATGGAGGAGTGTTCCTCTTTCTCCACACCCTCGCCAGCATCTACTATCACCTGAGTTTTTAATCTTAGCCATTCTGACTGGTGTGAGATGGAATCTCAGGGTTGTTTTGATTTGCATTTCCCTGACGACTAAGGATGCCGAGCATTTCTTTAGGTGCTTCTTGGCCATTCGAGTTTCTTCTGTTGAAAATTCTTTGTTAAGCTCTATACCCCATTTTTTAATAGGGTAATTTGGTTGCCTGGAGTCTAATTTCTTGAGTTCTTTGTATATATTGGATATTAGTATCCAAATTAATAAAATCAGAACTGAAAAGGGAGACATAACAACAGAAACGGAAGAAATTAAAAAAATCATCAGATCCTACTACAAAGGCCTATACTCAACAAAACTGGAAAACCTGGATGAAATGGACAATTTCCTAGACAGATACCAGGTACCAAAATTAAACCAGGAGCAGATAAACCATCTAAATAGTCCCATAACCCCTCAGGAAATAGCAGCAGTCATTAAAAGTCTCCCCACTAAAAAAAGCCCAGGACCAGATGGTTTTAGTGCTGAATTCTATCAGACCTTCAAGGAAGACCTAATACCAATTCTCTTCAAACTATTCCACAAAATAGAGACAGAAGGAACACTACCCAATTCGTTCTATGAAGCTACAATTACACTCATTCCCAAACCCCACAAGGACCCAACAAAGAAAGAGAACTTCAGACCAATCTCCCTTATGAACATCGATGCAAAAATACTCAATAAAATTCTAGCAAACCGAATCCAAGACCACATCAAAACAATCATCCATCATGATCAAGTAGGTTTTATCCCAGGAATGCAGGGATGGTTCAATATTCGGAAATCCATCAATGTAATCCACTATATAAACAAACTTAAAGAAAAAAACCATATGATTATCTCACTAGATGCTGAGAAAGCATTTGACAAAATTCAACATCCCTTCATGATAAAAGTCTTGGAAAGATCAGGAATTCAAGGCCCCTACCTAAACATAGTAAAAGCAATTTACAGCAAACCAGTAGCCAACATCAAGCTAAATGGAGAGAAACTTGAAGCAATCCCACTAAGATCAGGGACTAGACAAGGCTGCCCACTCTCCCCCTACCTATTCAATATAGTACAGAAAATTTATACTCTGGTGACACTCTCTTTCCCCGAGTCCATGAGAAGGTGCTATCAAGGGTCAACTTCCCCCTCAGTGAATTCCCATCTGGAAGTATCCAGACAGATTTACCTAGAAATTTGACACAATCTTCTAGGTTGTTTGTAAGTCCTCCCTAGTCATGGCGAGGAAAGCTTTTCCGTTTGAAGAAAATAGCTAAGCAACAACACATAAAATAAAATAAAATAAAATAAAATAAAATAAAATAAAATAAAATAAAATAAAATAAAATAAAATAAAATCAGAGTATGAAAGAGACTCCTGTATATGTTTATTCTATTAGACTCCCAAATCAAAACACCTTCAGTGTCCTATCGCAATGAATAAATAAGGAAGATGTGGCACATATCTATTGGAATACTATTCAGCCATCAACAATCATTATATAGAAAATGCACAGTTTGCAAAGTATAACCTACAACCAGCTACAGTCAAACAGTACAACAACTTTCACAAGGAGAATGTATTCATAATAAATATTTACGCGAATACAGAGAAATGGAAGTGAAAATCCTTGATACTTTCATAAATGGAAGGCAACTTGACCAAATTTAAAGTTTATGCGCCAGAAGTTTCTGAATCCTTCCTGGGCCACTTCATTATCCTCACAGTGCTGCATCAAGCTTCCGTGCTAGGCTTACCACCGCCTTCTATGGAGCTTGTACTTCCCGTAAGTTGGACTTTGTTTTGCTGTGTCAACTCTGTGTAACTCATTTGCTATGTACAACTCACTTTATATGAAATTCATGTTGTGAAAGTGTGATAGTTCACACCTCCTTGAGAAGTTTTAACTAAGGCATGACATTTTTTGTAGAGAAAATATTTCTCCAGGTGGAGGAATGTCAATTGCCTTTTACAAAGCTCTCAGTTCGTTCTCGAATACTCTAAAGCTTGGTATTGGAAATCACTAGAAGTTAAACTGCCGGAAAATTAAAGTCACCCTATTTCAGCTAGTGTTCAAGTGGAGGTGTGTTCTGCAGTCACCTCTGAACAGAGATGACATTAAAGCATCTGATAATGTAGGGAAATAGCTAAGGTGTCTTCAGGTTGCTTATCTGTGTTGGGTACAGAAAGGGGTTGATGGTCCTCTGTACTCTGTGAGAGACAGTGGATCTGGACAAGCAATGTGGCTCCATTTCAGCCCAGGAAAGCATTTCCAAAAATGTGTGCTTTACAATTTAATGCACAGAAGTTCCCCAAAGTGTCACACCATAATCCTCAAATTCGGGTTCCTAAAACACTGATCTTAATCATCTCAGAGTCTGTGTCAATCGGTATTCTAGACCTACCTTCGTTTTACTTCACACTTTGAAATTCCTAGAAGAACTGGAACTCTTGGCCTTGTGGACAATGCTGAGAGAAAATATTTTTCAAATTTACCCTGGCTAAAAAAAAAGGAAAAACAAAAAACTATTGTAGCAAACTAGTGTTGATCAATGTTTATCACTGTAACTAATATCAGATGGAAATGATTTAAGCAAGGAAGATTTCTGTTGGTTCCTTGGCTTTGGTATTTTTAGTTCATTGCTGTAGACCTGTGCTGAGAACGTCATGGAGGGGAGGGGTCAATGTAACAGAGTTGCTCATCTCCTGGAATCAAGCTTCCCCTTTGATGATTCTGCCTTTGTTGCATATAGTGAACAATAGTTAAGGTGCCATCAGAAGGTAAGATGGCCAGCCCTGGGAAAGCAGAAGGATCACAGATAAAATTCTAACCTTAAAAATAGACTCTTAGGAACGTGTCTTGAACTTGTTGTCTTGAACTTTCAGGAAAACTGGCCTTGAATATGGTTATCACACTACATACAAATATTTGTAATATTCCTGAGATGTGAATACCCTTTCTAATAATTACTTACATTAATGAGATTGGTTTTAATTATGCAAAATGAAAATATTTCTGCATAATGATCTAGAAATTGTTATGTTAACTGTTTTATTTAGTTTTTGTGTTTAACACTGAGCTATTTCTAGGTTATAAAAAAATCTCTCTCTCTCTCTCTCCCCCTTCCTTTTGGAACTAGACTAAGATGCTTAGTGAAGCAGCTGGAGAAAGGTGACGTTAATGTTGTCGATCTAAAGAAGAATATCGAATATGCAGCATCGGTACTGGAAGCTGTTTACATCGACGAGACAAGGTGAGTCGTAGCTCCACCCGCTTTTGTTTTCATTGCTTCTCCTCTGTCTTCCTTTTGACCTTTCTATATCACAAAGCAAATTATCGATCCTTGGTATGAAACAAAAATCAAAATATTAAAATTTGAAGTTCATTTTCATGTAGCTAGTTAACTGGAGTATTATTCTTTTTAAAATTATTTGTAGGTCCAAATAACTGAACATAATAAAATAGTCAAAGACTACAATTATTAAGCAAAAATAATTTCTTGATTTTTCTTCTTCACTGTTCTTAAACTTTTAAATATCAAAAGACTTACATAGGCTTAAACTAGTTTTCACTAATGTAAGAGTTTTTTCTATAATCTCAGAATACAAAATCTCTTATTAGAAAAGGGGCATAAGACCCATGAGATAGATTCGTCAGAGCTTATGTGGAGGGCTTCTGAGGGTTAGCTAAGTATTTCATGCCCCAAACCTAGCATCGTAGTTGGCAGTTGGAGGAAGTTTGGACAGGGACATTTACTTGAAGAGGGTGTCAACACAGTACTGTGGCTCTCTGCCAAATCCCCTATCAAATCACTTGTAAATTCAAGCGATTTGACTAGTACCTCCCAGTACTCAGAAAACATTGAGGCAGGGTCCTGAACAACCCACCAAAGAAGGTGAAAGTTACAAGAAAAAGAGATATGCCCCTGAGTTCAGAGCTGAGTGATTGCAGGAGCAGAGGGGCACACTGCCGGAGTTGAAAGACAAAAGGGAATTAGGAAGAGGTTTCTGGATGTACCATAGAATGCTGAAAAATGGGGGAAAGGGAGAGATTGCACTTATTTCTCATATAGGAGTCAGGACTGTAACTCCATCAGTGCAGTCGTAATTTTTGAGAAAATAAGGTTCAAGGTGTACTCTTGAATTAATTATCTCTGAAGGACTCATAAATGCCTATGATGAAATAAAAGAACCAGCATTTGAGAATTCATGTAGATTGCAGTAACATGAAAAAGTCCATTAAGATCCTTACCCTAGTATTTCCTCACCCATCGTTGACCTACCTGTAACAGCAGAGTGTGCAGAAGACAAGGAGTGTGTACATGCTACCAGGCCCTGTCCCCTCTGCTCATGTTCGTGTAGATCAAGCCTGACCAGGAAGATGGTGAGAAGTGTTAAAGTAGAGATGGGTTGCAACCATTCATCTCTGTGTACTGAACTTCACACACAGTGTTAGCTAACAGGCAATACATTTATATTGTTATCTATAGTCAGGGTCTGGGCTAAGTGTTTTTAGATTCTTGCCCTCTTATTCAAGTAATTGAAATAAATGTTTGTGATTGCCTGTTGTGGTATGACTCAAGTCAAAGAAATGATTCATCAGTGTCGTGGCCCCACCTTAGTCGCAGTGTTCTCAATTCTCCCGCTGAATGCCATGTATTTTCCAGTGACATAATAAAATAGTTTATTCTGTATTTTTCTTTCCTCTATTTATGAAGGTTGGACCACAACTAATATTTCATTTTACTGGTTTTGCTAATCAAGTAATTTTGGAGCTCTTGAATCCTGTGTTAAACTTTTATACACCCAACAATTAAAATGTTTTTAATTCTAAGAGAAAGATTCTCAATGCAGGCTGTAAGGCACAGGTGATTCATCTTTGGTCCATAGAATATAATTTCTCTGGTTTATATGTTTTTGTTTGTTCTTTTGATTTTATGTTGTTTTGTTGGGTTTTTTTTGTTTGTTTGTTTTGTTTTTGAGACAGGGTTTCTCTGTGAGCCTTGACTGTGCTGGTGTCATATGTAGACCAGTTGGTCTCACACTCTCGGAAATCCATCTACCTCCCCAGTGCTAGAATTAAAGGCATGCATCACCATGCTGCCCTCTGACCCCCAATTTGGAGTTTTTAAGAGGTGAAAAAATCACAGGTTCCTTTTTACTTTACAATCCTTCCCTGAGTTGTTTGCTTGGTTGATCTTCATTGAAAGCATATGGCATAGGTGGTCATTCAAAGGGGACAGAGCCAGGTGTGTGCTAAAGGCAGAAGATGCTCCTATACTTTCTTTGAACTTTTGCTTTTAGTTGTATGATTTATAGTTCATAAGTTGATTGAACTTAGCAGGTTTAAGGTTCTTCAGTCTGTTTTTGACCAGACATTATATGTTACATTTATTTATAAATGAACTTTAAAATTCAACACTTCTTTGGAGGTTTCCAACATCTTGTCGTATACGTAATTTTTATTTGCCTGGATGTGCAAACTTTATTTGATTGATAATATGCTATATTTGTTCATTCCCGTGGAATTATGTCCTTCCCATGGAAATTATGATTTCATGGTTATTTTGCTAGCTTAGGTCTCCATGGTCCTCGAGTCACTTAAATACATGTTGCATTTTTTTTGTAATTCTTTTACATTTGAAAATTATTCCCTAGTACAGGAAAAAAGGTTCAGCACAATGGTAGAAAGCCAACTTCTGCTGTGTTGGTTGTTTCCAGTGTAGGTTAGGGGCCAGGACAGTGAGTTATTTATTGGCTTGCATAAACTCTAGTTTATGTAGTGCTGGGTATTAAACACAGGGCTTTATGCATGCTAGGCAAGTGCTTTGCAAAATGAACTACAGCCCCAGAGCCCTGCTCCTGTGTTTAAATCCTTCCACAGCATCGTGTCCATTAGATTAATAATAATTCCCTAAATTTACACCATCATCTAAAAGCTATTAGTTCTCCACAATCCCATGCAATAATCAGAGTGATTACTTTCTGCACTTACTAATGGGAGCACTGAAGCTCATTTAAAACATCACAGCAGCCCTAGGAGATACAAGTTCTCTTATTACTATTTTGAGCAAAAGGACAATGAAACCCAGAAACATTTACATAGCTTATGCAAGAGAGTACCCTGAAGAGTGAGTTAGAGCCTCTAGCATTCTTGACACTGGAGTCGGGTTATTAACTACCATTCACACCTTAATCTATTTAGTTAGGGTTAACTCATAGGTATTTTCAAGACTGGAGTAATTGCTTAACGTACAAAAGCAGTTGCTGCCCAAGCAGGACGATTTCCCCAGCATCCATGTAAGAAAGTCAGGTATAGCAGCATCTCCTGTTATCCCAGTGCGAGTTGGGGTCTGGGACAATGAATGTCTGGAGTTTTCTGACAGAAGGTAAAGAGCTTCAAGCTCACTGAGAGAACGCAGGGAAATATGGTAAACAAACAAACAAACAAAATAGAAAGTTAGACCAGATATCCTCTTATCCTCTTGTACCTACCTACACAAATGCACACACACACACACACACACACACACACACACTCACACACACAGATACTTTCATAGATTTTTATGGACATTTGATCACGAATTTTTAGATTCCATGGTATACAGAGGGCATTGTTTCTCATTTTTCCCAGTATGTTAACATACTGCTGCCATGAATTCAGCTACAGTGGGACATTATGCCTCGGAGAGAATCGAATCTCCTATACATTGGAGCTTTGTCTTTTCTGGAAAGCCTATGGCTAAGCAGTTCCATCAGGCCAGTAGCTAGACCTACAATTACTTCTCAAGAATCTTCTAATTTTGTGCTGGAAATGTGTACTTAAGGCATTTTAGAGCAAAACCCCACAATTGAAATTGATTTCCTATATATTTTGTAAGGCCTGAAGCACGGAGTTGAGGGTACTTCTGAGATGTATTTGCCATTTGTCTTAAGAATTCTAGTAAAGTAGGCTATGTAAAAGAAAGACTCAGGCAGCATTTGGTTGCATGCTAATTTACATTTTAAGATAGTCTAGCTTCTGAAAATTGTATCTAGAGAGTCTTTCAAGGAAGTAAACTGTTCTGTGCATGTTCCATGGAGATATTTGAATAAAAGATTAACATAGGATAAAATAGGAATTTTAATTTATCAGTGCACACATACACATGCATGCAATTCTTCCTACTAAGTATGACTTCAGGGTTTCAGTTAAAATATATCAAAACAAAAATCTTTGTAAAGATGATTTTGTTTAGAAAAGTAAAATTTCTGATAGAAATAGAAATATGACTTTTTTGGAGATGATTGTAAATTCCACAGTGAATATGATCATTTGTTAGGTTTTATAAATTTGTAAGCATTTCAGACATGTCTTTAAAGGCTATTATTCTTCAAAGTTGCACAGTTATAATCCATGTGATCTAAAAAGAATACAATGCCCTTATTTGGATTGTAGCACAGCCAAGCAAAGAAGCATCCCTGGCTTCATGGGTAGCAGGGTAAGCAGCTGTATATTATGTTTGCTAATACGTAAAACCATAATTTCCTATTGTATATTGGTTAATATGAACCCATCCTTATGATTATCATGACTAGACTATAGTCTCTGGACTTAAAAAGAGCAGGTCATTCAAAGTCAGGACCTTCCAGTCAAAACTGAAATAAAGACACTTAATCTAGAGTACTCAGCTTTCTCACTTATGAAATACACATGAAGATTGACATGAAGGCTGTGTGTGACTTAATGCCAGGTAGAGGAAAAGTTGGATTATAACTATTGTTTTTAATGTACATTTAAAATGCAATATACTTCGTGTGTTTGGGTTACAGAATATATTAAGATATAGAATTTAAGCCCACTAAGGAAAATATCAAATAATTGTCTGAGAGTAGTTTGGAGTTTTTGGAGAAAAGAAAATGCACACAGCCATGGAATACAAGATATGAACAAAATGATGGAAGAGATCTAGCCCCTGCTAACACATTATCTCTTGACTAGCTTTCTAACTAAGCCTGTGAGTTCTTATCTTGGGAAAGGTCATACAGAATTGAGACTGCACTGATGTCAGTCAGCACTTAAAAAGTTGCACTGGCAGACACTGAGTGAGTACCTGGTAGGCGAGAGCCTTGAGGTCATTTGGTGCAGTCATTTACCAGTGAACTTCCACTGAACTCTCACCTATTGACCGAACATGGTAAGTCATTATCAGAATCCAATGGGAATTATAGTAGAACAAGAAAGGTGAAGAAGAACAATGTGAGGACAGAG